AATACTGGCTGGGCAGGTGGCTCACACCTGTAATCCCAGCACTTTGGGAGGCTGAATGGGAGGATTCCTTGAGCCTAGGAGTTTGAGTTGGTCTCGAACCTGAGCAACATAGTAAAACCCTATCTCTATAAAAAAAATTTAAAAGCCAGGTGTGGTGGTGCGTGCCTGTAGTCCCAGCTACTTGGGAGGCTGAGGTGGGAGGATTGATTGAATCCAGGAGTTCTGAGCTGCAGCGCGCTATGCTGATCAGGTGTCCGCACTAAGTTCAGCATCAATATGGTGACCTCCCAGGAGCGGGGGACCACCAGGTTGCCTAAGGAGGGGTGGACTGGCCCAGGTAGGAAACAGACCAGGTCAAAACTCCTGTGCTGATCAGTAGTGGGATCGCTCCTGTGAATAACCACTGCACTCCAGCCTGGGCAACATAGTGAAACCCCGTCTCTAAAAAATAAAAAATTAAAAAAAAAATTTTTAATGAAAAAAATTAGCCAGGGGTGGTGGTGCATGCATGTAGTCCCAGCTGCTCAGAAGGCTGAGATGGGAGGATGACGAGAGCCTAGGAAGTTCAGGCTTCAGTTAGCCATGATTGTGTCACCGCACTGCAGCCTGGATGACAGAGCAAGACCCCATCTCAAAAATAAAAATAAAATTGAATGCCAAGTGTGGTGGCTCATGCTTGAAATCCCACTGCTTTCAGACGCTGAGGCGGGAGGTTAGCTTAAAGCCGCAAGTTCAAGACCAACCTGAACAACAAAGCAAGACCCTATCTCTACACAAATTTTTTTTAGGCCAGGCATGGTAGCTCCTGCCTGTAATCCCAGCACCTTGGGAACCCAAGGTGGACAGATCACTGAAGGTCAGGAGTTTGAGAGCAGCCTGGCCAACATGGTGAAACCTTATACCTACTAAAAGTACAAAAATTAGCTGGGCGTGGTGGTGGGTGCCTGTAATCCCAGCTACTCAGGAGGCTGAGATTGGAGAACTGCTTGAACTCTGGAGGCAGAGGTTTCAGTGAGCTGAGATTGCACCTCTGCACTCCAACCTGGGTGACAGAGCGAGGTTCCTTCTCAAACAAACAAACAAACAAACAAACAAAAATATATATATGTATGTATATATTTAATTAGCCAAACATGGGGGTACATTCCTGTAGTCTCAGCTATTAGGGAGGTTGAGGTGGGAAGATTACTTGAGCCCAAGAGTTTGAGGCTTCAGAGAGCTCTGATCACACCACTGTGCTCTATTCTGGACAACAGAGGGAGACCCTGTCTAAAAAAAAAAAAAAAAAAAAAAATCGAGGTAAATTGTATGTTCATAAAAAGGAAATGATTTAGTAAATTATGGGAAAGCCATTCTCAAGAATATGTAGCAATTTTAAAATGTGTAAGTACTAGCCGGGCGTGGGGGCTCAGGCCTGTAATCCCAGCACTTTGGGAGGCCGAGGCCGGGGATCATTTGAGGATGGGAGATCGAGACCAGCTCTGGCCAACAAGGTGAAACCCCCTCTCTACTAAAAGTACAAAAATTAGCCAGAAATGGTGGTACATGGCCTGTAATCTCAGCTACTCAGGAGGCCAAGGCAGGAGAATGGCTTGAACCTAAGAGAAGGATCTGCAGCAAGCCAAGACTGAGCCACTGAACTCCCTCCTAGGCCATGGAGCAAGACTCTGTCTCAAAAAAATAAATAAGTAAATAAACAAACACACATACATAAATAGCAGGACAAAATAGTACATAATGATTATAATTATAGCAAAGAAACTAGACACATAAATACGATGGAAGGAAATTAATCATAAATGAGTAGTTGTTAATTGCTATGATTGCGGAAGGTGGGTAATTGTTATTCTTTTATACCCTGCCTTTACTATAGTGTGGCTGGATCACCGAGGCAGGAACTGCTCGTTATCTACTCAATATCTACTCTCTCCTTCTTTCTAATAAAAATAACACTGATTCTCTTTGGGAAGGTAAAACTATTCCAAGATTTTCTTGCATGTGATTCATTTCTAGCTAATGAGCTACAAAAGAAAGTCACGAATGTACTTCAGCTTCTAGAATTTTTTTTTCTTTTTTTCTTTTTTCTTTTTTTGAGACGGAGTCTCTGTCATCCAGGCTGGAGTAGAGTGCAGCTGCAGTCTCGGCTCACTGCAACCTCCGCCTCCTGTATTCAGATGATTCTCCTGCCTCAGCCTCCTGAGTACCTAGGATTACAGGCGCCTGCCACCACCCCCAGCTAATTTTTTGTATTTTTAGTAGAGATGGGGTTTTACCATGTTGGTCAGGCTGGTCTCGAACTCCTGATCTCATGATCCACCTGCCTCAGCCTCCCAAAGTGCTGGGATTACAGACCTGAGCCACTGCACCCAGCCTGTTTGTCAGTTTTTCTTTGTTGTTTGTTTGTTTTAAATTTTATTGTTAATTTATTATTTTTTAATATTATTATTTTTTCTTTTATTTAAAGATGGCGTTTCACCATGATGGCCAGGCTAGACTTGAACTCCTGACCTCAGGTGATCCACCCACCTTGGCCTCCCAAAGTGCTGGGATTACAGGTGTGAGCCACCGCGCCTGGCCTGTTTGTCAGGTTTTTTCTTTTCTCTTTTTTTTTTTTTTGAGATGGAGTTTTGCTCTTGTTACCCAGGCTGGAGTGCAATGGCGCGATCTCGGCTCACTGCAACCTCCGCCTCCTGGGTTCAGGCAATTCTCCTGCCTCAGCCTCCTGAGTAGCTGGGATTATAGGCACACGCCACCATGCCCAGCTAATTTTTTGTATTTTTAGTAGAGACGGGGTTTCACCATGTTGACCAGGATGGTCTCGATCTCTTGACTTCATGATCCACCCGCCTCGGCCTCCCAAAGTGCTGGGATTACAGGCGTGAGCCACCATGCCCGGCCCGTTTGTCGGTTTTTAACTAGAAAAAGAAGAGTTGACGAGTTGGAAGTTAGGAAATGTCTCACCCTGTCACCCAGGCTGGAGTGTAGTGGTGCAATCACAGCTCACTGCAGCCTCCATCTCCTGGGCTCAAGTGATCCTCTCACCTCAACCTCCCAAGTAGCTGAGACCACAGTTGTCTGTCACCATGTCAGGCTAATTTTTAATTTTTTGTAGAGACAGGGTCTCTCCATGTTGCCCAGGCTGCTCTGGAACTCCTGGGCTCAAGGAATCTTCCACTTCAGTCTCCCAAAAGATTGAGATTATAGGGCTGGCACAGGGTCATGTCTGTAATTCCAGCACTTTGGGAGGCCAAAGTGGGCAGATGGCTTGAGGTCAGGAGTTCCATACTACCCTGGCCAAATGGCAAAACCCTGTCTATACAAAAAATACCAAAAAAATTAGCCGGGCATGGTGGCACACGCCTGTAATCCAGCTACTTAGGAGGCTGAGGCAGGAGAAATGCTAAAATCTGACAGGCAGAGATTACGGTGAGCCAAGATCGTGCCACTGCACTCCAGCCTGGGCCACAGAGTGAGACTCCCTCTCAAAAAAAAAAAAAAAAAAGAGAGAGATTATAGACATGAGCCACTCTGAGCCCAACCTTGGATCATTTTAATCTAGGTGGGAATGGGGGGAAGGGTGGATATGAAGTCACATTTTATTGAAAATAGGAAAGAAGTTGAGACATATAGGAGGTGAATCAGTGCAGACAGTTCAGAATTAAGAACAAGAATCTTAGTCTCGCCTATCCTAAATCATAATTTATCATGGCCAGAAGCACGGTGGCTTTAGCAGACATAGGCCGGCTCCAAGTCCCAGTTCCACTTACACCTTGTTAGATTTGAGGAGGCAGGTCACTTATACCCACCGTTTAAGCCACAGTTTCTTTCTCTGAGAAAGAATAGTAATACCCACCTCCCCAGTTCACAGAACTGTTGTGAGGGTCAAAGTGATCAAGCTTGTGCATAAGAATTTCTGTGACACCCAATGCAAATGAGAATCATGTCGCTTTTATTACATGTAGGAAAAATATCATCCGAGTTTGGTGAGAAGTTCCATCAATGAATGCATGAGCCCAGCTTGCTGATCACCTTATGTTAATACAAGACTAAATGCAGGAAGAGCTTCATCTATCTTATTCTAATCAAAGGGTAAATGCAGGAATGACCTCATCGTTTGGATTGATGTAAAACATAACCAACATATAGGACATCACCATTATGCAGAAAGCTCTTTTCCCCATTAAACGGCTAGCGTTTAGACTTTCTTTACTGGGACAAAACATTTTATTCCAGTCTTTGAGATTCGACTTCAAATGCACTATGCCTGAAAAAGACTTAAATTGAGACTTAAATCACACTAACATATATGTGACTATTTCGTTTTTCAAAAGTATGTTTTAATAGGAACTAAGGAGAAAATAAATTTGTTTTGTTTTGCCTTTTTTAAGTTTTGTGTTTTTTTTGTTTTGTTTTGTTTTGTTTTGTTTTTGAGACACCCAGGCTGGAGTGCAGTGGTGCAATCTCAGCTCACTGCAACCTCTGCCTCCCAGGTTCAAGCAATTCTCATGCCTCAGCCTCCTGAGTAGTTGGGATTACAGGTGTGTGCCACCACACCCAGCTAATTTTTATATTTTTAGTAGAGATGGAATTTCACCATGTTGGTCAGGCTGGTCTTGAACTCCTGACCTTGTGATCCTCCCGTCTCAGCCTCCCAAAGTTCTGGGATTACAGGCATGTGCCACCATGCTCGGCTTTTCGTTTTAAATTTTAACAGTAAAGTGTATTTTGTTATCTGCACTGCTAAAGAGGTGAATAATTGTATAAACTAGGGGCCAGTCACCCACCACTCTGGTGGGCTATAAAAGGAGTCTTTCCCTATTTCTTCCATCTCCCTACCCTTGAAATTTTGGATCTCCTGCTTCATTTAACAGGGCAGGTAGCTTCAACATTGATTTGAAGTCAATAATAAAAAGCACAGACAACATAACCCCTAAATTATAGACGAACAAAAATCTTGGAAGAACACTGGAATAGATTACAGGGAATTGTATTAATTTCTCCCCGGATAGCAAAGCCAATACCTGTGACTAATCCGCTCTTGCTATGATCAAGATAGTCATCACCAACACCATGATGAAAAAAATCCACATGAAGAATCGGTCTATGACTTTGGCCACCTTCTTCCATTCGCTCCCCTTGGAATTGGTAGCCTTGTGGTCTTTGAGGCACTTGGCGATGTACTCAATATTCCTCGTCAGCCCTTTGTACTGTGCACAGTAACTCTCGGCCTCCTGAGGGTTCTCACCCTGGCAGCCCAGGTCATTCTTTAAGCGTTTATTCCTGTCCTTCTTTCTGGAAAGGTCTTTGTTCCTGGCTGTTTTCAGGTTAGACTCTGGCAGTTTGCTGTAAACTTTCGTGAGGCGGTCCTGCTCTCTACTGTGGCGCGGGCTGAGGCAGCTTTCACCCACATCGTAGACAAACAAGACCCTGGACATGTATTTCAGGATGACCACCCTGGCCCAGTGTGGTACCGGCCGGGCCTCGGCCCCACAGAAGTGGATATTCATCACCATGATGGTCAAGGCGGTGGAAGCTGTGATCAGGGCCATCGTGGCTATGTAGTATTTACCTGGAATTAAAATAACAGCAACAACTGAATTTGCTTTAAAACTGTCCTCATACAGCCATGAGTCACTTAACAACAGGGATACATTCTGAGCAGTGTATTAGTCATTCAGTGATTTTGTTGCTGCGTGAGCATCGTAGAGTGTATGTACACAAACCTAGATGGCATGGCCTTCTGCATACCTAGGCTGTATGGTATGGCCTGTTGCTTCCAGGCCACAAACCTGTGCAGCACGTTACTGTATTGAATACCACAGGCAATTGTACACATGATTATCAAATGGTAAGTATTTGTGTATCTAAGCATGTCTACACACAGAAAAGGTAAAGTAAAAATTGACTTTATGGGCTGGGCACAGTGGCTCAAGTCTGTAATCCCAGCACTTTGGGAGGGTGAGACGAGCGGATCACCTGAGGTCAGGAGTTGGAGACCAGCCTGACCAACATGGAGAAAACCCCATCTCTACGAAAAATACAAAATTAGCCAGGCATGGCGGTGCATGCTTCTAATCCCCGCTACTCAGGAAGCTGAAGCAGGGGAATTGCTGGAACCTGGGAGGCGGACGTTGCTGATCTTTGAAAATGTGGTCTGCTTTGAAATCACCTCAGATTCCCAAATCTCAGCTGAGTGGCTAAATCAAACTCTCTGGGTATAAGAACGTGCATTTTAATAAGCTCTCTCCCACTGCTATTATACCCAGTGAAGTTGAGATTTTTCTAGTAAGGGTAGACAGCAGGGTTAAAAAAGCACATCTTTCTGCCATGTTTGCCACTCTTCCCTAGAAGAAAACCCTTGTCATGTGAAACGATAACAATAGTCACTGTTTACTCAGTACTTACCATATGCCGGGGTGTGCAGTAAGCAATGACACAGAAGGAAGCAATCACACAAATTTTGCAGATGATGAAGCAGAGACAAAGAGAACAAGTAGTTTGTCTAAGTTTGATCAAGAAGTGAACAGTGAAGTCAGCATTCAAATGCAGGTTTCTTTGATTTCAAAATCAGGTCTTAACCTCTGGGTCAGTGGACTTCAGACTTAAACAGAAAATGCATCAGAATCACCCAGAAAACTTGTTAAAACAGGATGCCAGGGCCTTATCTCCAGAATGTCTAATTCAGTAGGCTTAGAGTGGGCCCTGAGATTTTGGGTTTCTAAAAGTTCCCAGGTGGGCCAGGCACAGTGGCTCATGCCTATAATCCCACCACCTTGGGAGGCCGAGGTGGGGGTGGATCACGAGGTCATGGCTTAGCCTGGCCAAGATGGTGAAACCCCATCTCTACTAAAAATACAGAAGTTAGTCGGGCATGGTGGTGCGTGCCTGTAGTCCCAGCTACTCAGGAGGCTGAGGCAGGGAATTGCTTGAACCCAGGAGGCGGAGGTTGCAGTGAGCCAAGATCATGCCATTGCACTCCAGCCTGAGCAACAGAGCAAGACTCTGTCTCAAAAAAAAAAAAAAAAAAAAGCATCAGAGTCTATATCTGTCAGATGAACAAAAAACAGTTCCCAGGTGATGCTGACGCTGTGCATCTGGGGGCCATCACTATAAGAACCACTGCTCTAAAGTATAACGCCTTCCATTGCTCTTTTGTGTAAACCCAGCAACTGTAAAACCAGTTTTGATTCCAACAGCCTTATCTGTATTGAAAGATGCTAACTGTAACCACCAGAGGAGTTTGAGACAGTCTGGATTGAGTCGAAATTGGCTCCAGTGTTTCAAGTTTAAAGGCACACACACAGCCTTAAAGGCATGACCCCAGGCACTACAAAGCTGGGCTCGTAGTGGAAAACACTTGAACTCACCTATCAGAGGGACATTTTCTGAGGCTGGCATAATTTCTGCCACCATTAGCTGAAATACAGTCATGGCCAAGAGGATGGTCACTCCCAGGGAGACCTTTTCTCCGGAGGCTGCTGGGAGATAAAAACTCAAAGGAGCCAGAAAAGATATGAGGACGCATGGTATGAGGAGGTTGACGATATAGAACGAGGACCTCCTCTTCAGAAGGAGGGTGAATGTGACATCCGGGTAAGGCTCAGAGCAGCAGCCATAGGAGATCACGTTCTTCACAGCAGGCATGCCATGGACCTCCCATTCCACATCTTCAATGAAGTCAGAGAGATCGCCGCTGTCCAGGGCATTGAATATGTCCACCTGATTGCCATTGTAGGTCCAGGAACCAAAAGTCAGGTTGCACTGCTGGTTGTCAAAAGGGAAGTAGGTGACATCCACCACACAGGAGCTTTTGGTGATGGCCGGTGCATCCCAGGTGATCAGCCCATCATACCGCAGGACCACATTGGTGTTCACAGGCTCTGAAGATTCATCGTCAGCCCTGGAGGTCAGATGAGGAAAATGAAAGCCGCATGCTGGAACTTGCCCCCATCCTTACCCAGACAGCTCACTGTACCCGTCACTTCAGTGTTTTGACAATGGACCACCATTTTCCCTGTCACTGTGGCTCGGGAGTCTGGAATCAACTCAAATTAGCCCTTGTCCTTCATCTCCTGTAACTAGTCAGGGCCAAGTTCTCTTGGATTCTTCCTTGAAAGCATCTCTGCTCTCTGTCCCTTCCTGTCCATTCCCAGTGCCACTGTCTTGAACATGCAGACAAAAAGTAAGTCTGTCAATACGAAAACCTGCTTACTTGATTTGGTGTTTTTGTTTTTTTGTTTTTTGTTTTTTAAAGATGAGGTTTCACCGTGTTCGCCAGGCTGGTTTGGAACTCCTGACTTCAGGTGATCCACCCACCTCAGCCTCCCAAAGTGCTAGGATTACAGGCGTGAGCCACCGTGCCCATCTTGATTTGTTAACTTTAGGCATTAGAATATTAAAAACAGCTTTGTATTGCTATTATAAAAGCTGTACATGTTTATTTGTAACATTTGAAAAACTCAGAGAAAAAAAGTTGTTCACCCATAACTTTAGAGGAAATCACTTATTCCAGGTATATCTTCTTTTTCCTCTTTATCAATAGTTATGCCTTGTATTTTGGGGTACAGAATTTCTATTTTTCTCTAGGGACTCTTTCTCCATTGCCATTGCAAAAGGCTGGCTGGGTGACTCAAGCTTGGTCCAACAGAGTCACACTCTCCAGAGTTTAGATTTTTTTTTTTTTTGAGACTGAGTCTCACTCTGTCACCAGGCTGGGGTACAGTGGCACAATCTCAGCTCACTGCAACATCTGCCTCCCAAGTTCAAGCGATTCTCCGACCTCAACCTCCCGAGTAGCTGGGATTACAGGTGCACACCACCACACCCAGCTAATGTTTGTATTTTTAGTAGAGACTGGGTTTCACCATGTTGGCCAGGATGGTCTCGATCTCTTGACCTCATGATCCACCCACCTTGGCCTTCCAAAGTGCTGAGATTACAAGCATGAGCCACCACAACCGCCCGAGTTTAGACTTTAAGCAGAGTGATTCAAAGGCCAAAAGCATCACCCTAGTGATGGCTCCCTATTCAGAAAAAAGCAGGCGGTCCCTGCTGTCTTGGACACAGAGCAGCCTTGCTTCCCTCCTTTCCGAGGGCTGGTCGTTTACTTTTTCCTTTAATTCAATGAGATGTACCATATCATTCTAACAAATTCCTATTTCACAAGGTTGCCAAAGTCAGTTTCTGATGCTTACAACTAAAAAGCCTTAATTGGTACATTTCTGTTAACATTTGGATGCCTATTTTTGCAGTCTTCCTTACAAATTTTTCCCCGCAAAATATATTTTGGCTAAATATAATGTGGTATTCTGGATTGGATCCTGGAACAGAAAAAGTACATTCACGGAAAAACTGGTGACATCTGAAAAAAGTAGTTTAGTCAATAACATTGCATTAATTCAGCCGGGCGTGGTGGCTCAAGCCTGTAATCCCAGCACTTTGGGAGGCTGAGGCGGGTGGATCACGAGGTCGAGAGATCGAGACCATCCTGGTCAACATGGTGAAACCCCGTCTCTACTAAAAATACAAAAAACTAGCTGGGCGTGGTGGCGCGTGCCTGTAATCCCAGCTACTTAGGAGGCCGAGGCAGGAGAATTGCCTGAGCCCAGGAGGCGGAGGTTGCAGTGAGCCGAGATCGCGCCATTGCACTCCAGCCTGGGTAACAAGAGCGAAACTCCGTCTCAAAAAAAAAAAAAAAAAAAAAAAACATTGCATTAATTCTGGTCAGTGTATTATGGTTATGTAAGACGTAACATTGAGGAAAACTGGGTCAAGGGTATAAGGGAACTCTGCACTATCTTTGCAACTTTCTATAAATCTAAAATTATCCCCAAATTTAAAGTTACCTTGCAAAAAAGGAAAAAAAAGATGAGACAAAATGTTTTAAAATACACGGTCATCTGTTCATATTCTTCTACAACATTCTTTTGTGTCTAAACAGCATTCTATTATATTCCACTATATATATTTTTACACCATACACCATACTTATTTAATACACCATAGTTATTTGTTACACCATAGTTAACACCATCGTTGATACAACATAGTTATTTAATCAGTCTACTGAGGCTTGACATTATGATAGGTTCCAGCTTTATATTTATAAGCAATGCTGCAGTGAACATCACTGTAGCTAAGTCTTTGCATTTATCCACTGACTCTTTCCTTAGGTTAAATTGCTGAAAAAAGATGTGCTGGGTCAGAACACACATGTTTTTGAGGGAGGTGAGGGATAAAAATCTACATCTTGGGTACACTGTACACCACTCCGGTGATGAGCACACTAAAATCTTAGATTTCACCACTATATAATTCACACATGTAGCTAAAAATCACTTGTACCTCAAAAGCTATTAAAATAAAAAATATATTGGCTGGGCATGGTGGCTCACACCTGTAATTCCAGCACTTTGAGAGGCCAAGGAGCATGGATCACTTGAGTCCAGGAGTTTGAGACCTGCCTGGCTGACATAGCGAAACCCCATCTCTACTAAAAAAATACAAAAATTAGCCAGGCATGGTGGCACACGCCTGTAGTCCTGGCTACTTTGGAGGCCAAGGCAAGAGAATTGCTCAAACTCGGGAGGTGAAAGTTGGAGTGAGCCAAGATCGTACCACTGCACTCCAGCCTGGGTGACAGAGTGAGACTCCATCTCAACAACAAAAATAAATTAATTAAGTATATAAAATTATATATATTTAAAGAACAGACATGTTTTTAAGGTTTTTATTTTTTCCACTCGTTAGAAATTAGGCGCCACAGGGCCGGGCGCGGTGGCTCACGCCTGTAATCCCAGCACTTTGGGAGGCCGAGGTGGGTGGATCACGAGGTCAAGAGATCGAGACCATCCTGGTCAACAGGGTGAAACCCCGTCTCTACTAAAAATACAAAAAAATAGCTGGGCATGGTGGCACGTGCCTGTAATCCCAGTTACTCGGGAGGCTGAGGCAGGAGAATTGCCTGAACCCAGGAGGCGGAGGTTGTGGTGAGCCAAGATCGTGCCATTGCACTCCAGCCTGGGTAACAGGAGCGAAACTCCATCTCAAAAAAAAAGAAAGAAAGAAAGAAAGAAAGAAATTAGGCGCCACAATATTAACTGTAATGGTCTGATTGAATTCACTCTATACCCGAGAGGATCTTAAATGTGAGTGTTTGTGGAGTTTTTGAAAATGCCTGAACTACCCCGTGTAAGAGTGAGAATTGTGTACAGTTAGCTATTGAGAAGTGAGAACTATACATGAACTGAGAACACTGCTCACCCATCCTACTTCCTTGGTGCAAAAGGAGAGATCTGGAGATCAGAGAGACTGTTTGGAGCTAGAACAATTGCCCTAGTCAGGGTCCCAGTAGGAAATAAATGGCCTACTCAAATGAGATGACCTGAGGAGAGTTTAAGAAAGGGGGTGTTCACAAAGGTGTGGATAGGATGCAGAGAAACCATTCCTGGATGTGAAGATGTGCAGAGAAAGTGCAATTACCAGAACCTGGAAAGAAAGATTTGCGTGAAGAGGGTCACCAAGCTAGGAGTAATGACTTTCTGTCAGGAGACACACCAGCTCACAGGAAGAGAGCAAGGGAATACACACCCTAAACTCACTCTCTGTTCCCCCTACAATTGCCCACTGGTGCTCCACATTGACCAAACCCAACCCCAAGCCGAAGGGTAAGGGAACTCCCTGACCAAAAACATCACCCTGGCTACTTTCAAATAGATTTTGTTTTTGTTTTTTTCCTGTTTGTTTTGTTTTGCTTTTTTGAGACAGTTTCACTCTTGTTCCCCCAGCTGGAGGGCAGTGGCGTGATCTCGGCTCACTGCAACCTCTGCCTCAAAAGTTCAAGCGATTCTCCTGCCTCGGCCTCCTGAGTAGCTGGGACTACAGGTGCCCACCACCACGCCTGGCTAATTTTTGTACTTTTAGTAGAGACTGGGTTTTGCCTCTTTGGCCAGGCTGGTTTCGAACTCCTAACCTCAGGTGATCCTCCTGCGTTGGCTTCCCAAAGTGCTGGGATTATAGATTAGATGTGAGCCACCTCACCTGGTCTTTTTTTTTTTTTTTTTTTTTTTGAGAAGGAGTCTCGCTCTGTTGCCCAGGCTTTAGTGCAGTGGCACAATTTTGGCTCACGGCAACCTTTGCCTCCTGGATTCAAGCGATTCTCCTGTCTCAGCCTCCTGAGTAGCTGGGATTACAGATGTGCACCATCACACCTGACTAATTTTTTTATTTTTAGTAGAAACAGTGTTTCACCATTTTTACCAGGCTGATCTCGAACACCTGACCTCAGGTAATCTGCCTACCTTGGCCTCCCGAAATGCTGAGATCACAGGTGTGAGCCACCATGCCCAGCCTGGAGTAGTTTAAATACATTATATTATATATATATATATATATATATATATATATATATATATATATAATTTTTTTTTTGGCCAGGCACAGTGACTCACACCTGTAATCCCAGCACTTTGAGAGGCTGAGGTGGTGGATTGCCTGAGGTCAGGAGTTTGAGACTACCCTGACCAAAATGGAGAAACCCTGTCTCTACTACAAATACAAAATTAGCCAAGTGTGGTGGTATGCACCTGTAATCCCAGCTACTTGAGAGGCTGAGGCAGGAGAATCGCTTGAAACCAGGAGGTGAAGGCTGTAGTGAGCCAAGATCACACCATTATACTCCAGCCTGGCTAATGAGAGCGAAACTCCATCTCCAAAAATAAAAAATAATTTTAAAATTAAAAAAATTTTTTGTAGAGACAATGTCTCGCTATCTTGCTCAGGCTGGTCTTGAGCTCCTGGCCTCATGTGATCCTCCTGCCTTGGCCTCCCAAAGTGCTGGGATTACAGGTCCGAGCCACTGTGCCCAGCCAAGACATTATTATTTAATCATTTCATGACCAA